TTGGTTTTATTGTTTTCTTTTTCTCCAATAAAGTACTTGGGGTACATGTGACTTTGACATTTGTGGAAAATAATGCTTATAATCTTCAAGGTAATAGGCTTCAGGAACAGGAGCCTCTGAGTTTGTGTATTTTGAGGGGGTCATGGTAAAGTTCATCACTTTTTCATTTTTATCGGAACAAAGACCATAAGTGCCTGTCTTTGATGGCACAAGTGGCGTCTTATTCAACATCACGAGTTCACCACCGAAGACTAAAGTTTAGGCGTTATTTGGCTGACTGCGGTAGTTTTTTTTTATTAAATTATAAAAATAAGTGAAATTTAAAAATTTTTATCGCAAAGTCAGAAAGATTAAGCTTTAATATCTATTTTTCCATATTAACAAAAAATTATAGAATACATATTCCTTTGAAAAAAAGAAAGAAATACATATTTTTTTATTTATCTATTAATTTAGTAAAAAAACTTATCAATGTGAAGGTTTAATTATTTTTATTTATAAAACTTTAGTCAAATTAAAACTCATTAATTAAAAAACATTGTTTGGGATCAAGTTCAAGAATTCAAACTTTTATCATATCTAGTAATTAACCATTTGATATATCAAAAAATATAAAAGTTCAATTATTCTTAATTTCTTAAAAAATATATAAATTTAACTTATTTTTAAAGTTTATCCAAAAAATAATTATTTTCACTTATTAAACATAACCTTAGTGTTTTTTTTTTTTAACTAAGTTTAAGTTAAAACTTAGAATATATATGTTTAATTTGAGATAAATAAAAAAATAAAAAAATAAAATAAAATAAAATTTTCAATCAATTAAATTATATCATTTTCAAAAATTTTATGTTTGCTAGTCCGGGTGAAGAATCCCATTCTTATCAAGCTTTTATGTGCAACGCCTTATTTCTAATATTCACTACAAGAAAAATGATTTTTAGTGACAGAAATTTATGATGAATTTTGAAATTATCACTATAACTTATCACAATTGTGACAGATCTAAAAAATTAGTCACAGATGCATAGATATGTAATGATGAAAAAAAAATTTCATCATAGAAAATACATTTCGTCACCGAAAAAATATTCATAGAGATAAAATAAGTTTTTATCGATAAAAATCACCACTATAATGCATTACAATTATGACAAAATTCTAATATTGATCACATAAACCTTACACATTCAATGATAACCAAATAATTCATCACTAAAAATATATTTTGTCACTAAAAATTATCAATTTTTTCTAATCAATACATCCCACATCGATAAAAAACACATAAGAGAATAAGGTTTGGCACTATAAATATATTCCACATCGATGAGAAATATTTTTAAAAAATAAATTTTTGCACTATAAAACATGTGAAACTCAATAAAACTTGAAATTAGTTTGAGCCTGATTAATTTTAATCAGTTTTGATTAATTTTAATCAAAATTGATTAGTATTGAAATAATAATATTTTTTATTAAACTTTTGTGATATATTTATATATTATTTTTTTATGACAAAATTTTTGTTACAATATGTGTGTTGTAATTATATAAATATCTTTTTTATTTAATATCAATTTTAATAATTAATGACTAAATTTTTCATCACAATTGCATTTGTGATTTTTTTTTTGTTAATCAATTGTAACATTTGTGATGAAAATTATTGTAACAAGAAGTATTTTTTTGTGACGAATAAAATTGTTATAAATAACTTATTAACAATGTTAATTTTTTTTATCACTATAAGATTATTTTCTGTGACAGGTGCCTAATTTGTCACTAACAGCATTAGTAACAAGTGTTTTATTAACAATTTAAATTTTATTATTAATAATAATTTGTGACGAAAAATAAAAATTTAGTGATCAATAATTTAGTCACTAAATGTGAATTTTCTCGTAGCGATTATTTCTTGTTGAGAGCAGTTGGAGTCCATCCTTCACGACTGAAGGAGATAGGATCATAGAATATTATAATGCTTACTTTCTTCTATGCATTTCATCAACGTAAAGCAAATAATTTCACATAAACAAGAAGAACACCTCTCTTCTATATTATGTTAAGTTTGATAGGTGTGGGTTTAACTCTCATCCTCAACATTTGAAAACAATAATTTCATATAAATTAATAAAATAATAATAAATTACATATCATTTAAAATATTAAAAAAATAAATTTTATATTATTTAATA